TCTCTCTCTCTCTCTCTCTCTCTCTCTCTCTCTCTCTCTCTCTTTCCCTTACTTCTGTAGAATCTCCTCCAGCAACAAATGTTGGGACAAAATGTACATTCCATTGGTCCATTCGTTTTGCAGCGCCTCCTTTTTCTCCCCTTCTCATGCCTCGTAGGACACAAAAAAAAACAATAAGGCAGAGGCATGGACGTGTTCACCCAGGCTCATTTTGGCGAAAGAAATTGTTCCCGGGAAAGTGGCGAAATATTTACTGCTTGACTGCGCCTCTCCATCTCAATAAGCGCCGCGCTGAACTCCCCCTCCTCCTTCTTCAGCTCAAAGTGAAGATCTTTAATCATCTGATTCTTCTGACTTAACGTACGGTCCACCTCGGAGGCAATGAGTTCAAGGGCGGTGGGCTCAAGATTCATCGCCTGAAGCACACCATCAAGCTGAGCGTCCCGCTCCTCAACAAGTGCATGGAACTCGATCAATTTCTGCTGCAATACCTCATTCCGTTCCTCCACAACCTCCATCGCCTGCCGGAGCGCAGATTCAAACTTTGCCTTAAGTTCTTCCCGCTCCTCGTGGACGTTGGCGTAACGCTCCTCGAGAGCAGTGTGTTCCTTGCGCAAGCGCCAAATTTCCTCCCGCAGAGAGCGAAGCTTTGCCCGGGTTGTGCCAAGGCTGCGCTTGTCCTGCTCGTACTGCTTCCGTCTCTGATGCAGCTCTGCCACCTCTCTCTGCGCCTCTTCCAGTGGGGCCACTAAGTTCTGATTCTCGCGATCAATATCATACATGAGCGTCTCGTTATTTTCGTCGTTTTTCTTCATTTGAGAAATCTCCTCCTTGAGGGATTGAATGATCTCTAGGTTGTTGGTCGTGATCTGGTTGTAGTAGTCCTTCATCTCATGAAACTTCGTCTCGTGTTGCTTGATCAGGGCATTGATGTGATCATTCTTGCGCTCCTCGATTTCGTGAATCTCCGCCCGGCGTCGCAACTCCAATTCGTCCTGCAAGGCCTTAAGCTTCGCTTCATAGACTGCCTGCTGGCGCGCTAAATACTTCTCATGTTTCTGCTTCTTCGTGACGGCCAGCATGTAGTTATGGGAGTCGCGTTGCTCATCGATCTTCATCTCATGACCCTCCGCCGCCGCCTCAAACTTGCGGTCGCGCTGCTGCAGCTGGGCTCGGATGTCGCCCATCCGCTTCAGGTGCCGCTCCTCCGCCTCCCGCAGCAGACGGTCACTCTCCTCCTTGCACAGCTTCACCCTCATTTTGTGTTCATACAATAAGTGCCGCACCTTCTGCTTGTACACCTTCATCTCCACCTGGTGCGCACGCGTCATCTCCTCAAGCTCCGCATCGGCGTTGAGAAGGGCGTGGCGAACGTTGTCCACATCTTTCTTCGCCACTGACCAAAACTCATTTACTTTGTCACGCTCCACCTGAAAGTAATTCCGAAGCTCCTGTGCCTTTACCAGGGCATCGTGGATGGACTCCATGCTTCTGAGCTCGGCAATGGGGTCACACGGGGACGGTGCCTTCTCCGCCCTGCGCGCGCCTGCACGACCTGCCTTCGGTGGCATGTCTACGCGACACTAAAGACGCTGCAACAAAAAAAAAAAAGTATGATACAATGACCCTCAGACGGTTACAGCACCACGCACACGGTATTTTTCTCTCTATACTTTTGTCAGAACCCACCGACGACTCACTCCCGGTAAGGCTATTGCACATACCACCATGTACACATGTCTTTAGGACAAAAAAAAAAAGAAGCAACGATAATAATACTTTTCTCCACAGTCCTTCGTTTCCATGCGTACTCGAGCCATCACTCTCACACATAACCACAACCACCACCACCGTTTTCGTTCATTGAGTTACCCTACCTTTTACTGTTTCTTTGTGTGTAGCACTTCGTTATTGTATGGCCTCAGACGCTATCCAAAAACTCATCCAGTGGCTTGTAAGCCGCCATGAACCATGTTTTACGGGTCCAATGTGCGTAGCGCATACCAGCACGCAGGCGAATCTGTAGCGCAATAAAGTACTCGTAGCGTGCGGTGTGCGCGGAGCCCAGCGCATGATTGACTTGGGAGGCAAATTCATGCACCTGTGCCATTTGCGGGTCACACGGGTCCAGTACACGATGGACACTTTTCTGCATAAGATCCAGGTACTCTAGACACATCGACGCATCTTGCTCCTGCCACGCCTTTTGACACCACACATCTATCTTACGAAAAACGATGGCATGACTGTAGTGCACGTTCTTCGCCTGCAATAGACGCACCAAGCCACTCATCTTATCCGCCTTAACGGCCGTCAACTCCTGCTCTTCGTCAAGGCAACGGTGAACCTCACTTACGTCAGGACGATATCCACACTGCAGGCAAACCCACTCCTTGAGGCGGCTGCCATCTCCAACGGGGCAAATAACACCACAGTTACGGGGGCATTGCGGGCATCGAAAGGCACGCGCTACATCAGGCCCATCCACGCACCACCGGCAACTACACGCCACCCCAAAGAGCTGCCGTGTGAGTTTCGATCGTTGTGGCTGCGTCATGAAGACTGAATCAAAAAAGCTGCGAGAAATATGTTCCCCGCGATCAATGTCACGGCATGCCACAAGAACTGCGACAGATGGAAGAAAGACCCGCTCCGAACACGGAAACCCCCATGGTAAGGGTGCTTCCGCCCTCTTCTCCTTATCGGAATGCGCGCCGGTAGTATTATAGTCAAAAAAACCCGCCTTGCCGCAAACATGCGAGGCAGGTGAGTCCAGAAACATCACAAAACTATTTGGTCGACACTCATGTGAAACACGTCGAAGAAATGGAAACAAACCACTGCATTTGGGAAGGTCAGGAACTTGAATGGAAACTGCATTCCGCAAAAAAAACAACAGTAAACGCGCCAGACGGTCTGGTTTATGCAGTCCCATTCTACGAATAAATCCGTAGTGCGGTAACACGAACTTGTTGGCATGCACCTGTGAAAGACACCCCCCTGCCGCAGTCGGATCCTTCCGGGCACACAAGAGCAATACCGGTGGAATACACCGAAGTAGCAGCAACGCAACACCACGCAACACAGTTAGTCGAGGGTCGGACTCCACCGGAGCAAAACACCAGCTCTCAACGAGAGACTCCGCACGCTGTGATTGGTGCAGTAGTGTACTTGGCTTCAATGTATTAATAGCATGGAATTTACTGCTTGTCTGCAAGCCTGTGAGAGCCTTTCTTATTTCGTTCCCTCTCGGAAGCAGCTCCATGTCACCACAAGACAGCAACAAGGATGCAAGCAACTGGGAAAAACCGGTCTCCACAAGAGCTGAGGCGCCGCTTCCTATGGCGTAGGCATGAAGTATGATCTGACGTGCGGCAGCCACGAGTCTGGGGGACGAGGCTTGAAGAGCACTTCTGCTGCTATTCCCCTGTGTATAGCCATTCCCTGCCTTGCCACTCTTCTCACATTTTTGTTCCCTACAGAAAGCCGCGGAATTGGGAAAGAAACGCCACACAAGCGCGTCTTCCACAACCCGCAACTCCGAGACATCCATAGCAATAATCTCTCCCGCTTTAATGCAGCGCGTTGCCACAACGTTGCTGCTGCAGCATGGACAAACGCTCCCTAAAGTCCTTTTGCTCTCCCCCGTCAAACCCTGTCCTCCAGCAGGAGGGTACGACTTGAGCGAGTGCGCTTCCACTCGGCAAAGCGGCAGTGCGCTGTCAGCGTAGTATCGTCCTTCTTTTGTGTTAAAGATTGGCGCAGACATCGCGTCAGCCACGGTCGCATGAGACCTAAAATATGGATCATATGTGAGTAGAACAGGATCGTTTACGTTGAGGTACCAACCAGGTGGAAGTGCAGGGCCATGGGGCATATGTTTCTCCACCTCCTCTTTCAGCTCCCCCCTTTCCAGATACCGAACACGCGCCGCCCATAGCCGCAGGGCAAATTCCTCTTCACACTGCAGTCGCACACGCTGCGCTGGTGCATTGTCATCAGCAGCGGAGGAACAGTATGATTCATCACCGTTAGTGGTGTTGGAAGGGGGCGTTGGTGCCCCAACGGGCATAATGTTGTGTTCACCACCCACACAAGCACCACAAAGGAATAACTGGAAAAAAAAACACATACAAAAAAAAAGGGAAAAAGGTGCGACTGTGACAATAATCCGTGTGCAAAGATTCATTGTATATCAGCATCCATGGTAGAATTCATCTAAATGGGGTACAGCATCTAATTATATATATATATATTTGTATACAAGCAGAACAAGAACGGCCTTCTTCATCAGTAAGGCAGAAGAATGGTGTGGAGAACGGTCTGTAGCACCATGTGAGTTGTTGCCTCCCCAGTCAAACTGCATTCATCTGTTGTTTCTGTTTTTCTGCACCCCCCCCACCCCCACCTTTTTTTTTTATTCCTCTTTCTTTCGGTCCTGATCTATAAATTGATGTTCTCGTTCCAACAGTGCCCTAATGTCACGCACCTTTTCCCGGACATCACGCCAGGTATCGGTTCGTGCTTTATTATCTGTCCACATTTTTAGTTCTTCTACGCAACCTTCGAATTCCTCCTTGCGGCGCGCCGCCTCCGCCAACACCTCAGCGGACGACGACAAATACGTCACCCGGGAAAGTGCTGCGGCCCGAAAACACGCATACGCCTCCCGCATCATTCGCACGCGATCCCCAAAGCCAAGAAGATTTTTACATAACTCGTCATGCTCTGGCAGTAATTTTTGCAATGACAGACACTCCTCTATGAGCTGCGCACAACGCTCATGCAGGGGGGATGCCGTGTCACGTGTGGCCACGAGGGAATTATGCAGCTCCTCGAGAAAAGGACCCACCTGCGAACCAAAACTTCTGTGTTCCTCCACATTTTCTTCTAATAGAGTCTCCGCATACACTTCAAACAGTGTATGTCGCAGTCTCTCAAGAGCGTTAACCTGCAAATGCACCCAAGTCTCATTTGCCTCCAGCAGTCTCTCTTGCACTGCCTCGCTCTCCAAAACAGGCTCCGCTGACTCCAACAAAACTCTATAATTAGTCGACATGGTTTTGTAGTGTTCCAGAAGCGACGTGCAGAACTCTTTAATGTGACACGGATCACGTAGAACGTCAAGGTTTACCTGCTGCTGGCGGCACCAAACGACGAGGCGACGCTGATGCCCTTCCATCTGACTCACCGCTTTCTCCCTCCTTTCCTGAGACCGCTGCAGATTCACTACCAGGCCAACGGCACGCTTTCCTAAAGCCAACACCTCGTCAAGGAGACCCCGCGCACCACTCATAAAAGCGTCCTGCGACGTCGCGCCGAGAGCCCCAGCTTTGCCCTCCAAGTCCCTCCAGGCTGAGTCAAGTTCACATTCCTTCTCTGCCCACGCGTTTCTGTTCATAACACCACACCATGTGATGAGAGAAGAACCACCTGCCTCCAACGGATGGGGGTGCGAGAGTAGGCCCCGCAGGGCATCCCGCAGGGTCGTCAGCCTCGCCACAAAGTCACCCAGGTGCATCGCGAAGGCTGTGTATACTTCTACAGACGCATACGCTGGAGGAGGAAGAGCGCGTCCACCGGCGTCACGGCCTTCTGCCATTTCAGTGAGCATCAGCAGCTCCGCCTCCAGCTCGGCCACCTCCTCCTCAATGTCGTCGGCCTCCCGCTCCTCGTCGCTCTGAAGAGCATCCAACTCGCGCGTCATCTTTTCTGTATGTGACAAAAAAGAATCATGCAGTGCACGAAAGGCATCCATCTTGACGTCACGATCCTCACCCTCTTCCTTCAACTGCCGCAGCCGCTCGTACTGGGCCCTGAGGGTAGAGGCCGACGCGTCAAATGCGTCGAGAATAAGCTCCATTGGTGGCACACAAGATAAAAAATAATCGCAGAAGGCCTTGTCTCCCCGCTTGGTTTTTCCCCTGTAGTTATTGCCCCTCTTCGCTCTCACGTGCACATACGTGTGCGTGCAAAGAAAATGACGAGAAAGCCCACAAAGAAAAAAAAAGAAAATAATAATAATAGCAAGGCATGCCTATCGTCGTTGACAAACTCGCCCCAGTGGAGAAGAGGATGCGGGAGGCTGCGGCAGAGCAGCATGGGTATGGGCCCATGCCCCTGCACACAGGCCCCACAGCCCCTTCATAAAAAAAAACAGTAAAACCAGCAACAAAAAATAAACTTAAAAAAAACAAAAACAAAGAATGCCAAATGAAGCCTTTCCCCAAAGCATATAGTCGAGGCGTTACCCAGAGTACATGCGAGAGGGTCACACCCAAGACCAAATCAAACAAAATGCACAGCGCCGTGCTCTTTACTTGAGCTCACGAAGGCGACGAACCGTGGAGCGAACAGTGCTGTTGTTCGGTGTGCTCAACGTGTATGCGCCCCCCGCCATGGTCTTGCTGCAGCCGTCGCAGCGCCAAATGCCCACAGCCTTACGGCGAAAGGCAAACTTACCGCAGAAGGAGCAGAAGTGCTTCGCGTGCTGCGACACCTCAAGCTTCTTGGCGCGCTTACGTGGGTTGGCGCCATAGCGGGCTCCATAGCGTCCCATGACGCCCATCTTGACGGTACGCTTTGCCATCACTCTGTCTGTGCAGTCGACCCCTCAAGTTGGCTCCTAACGGTATTGTGTGAATATGTGTTTGTGCGTTGGGTGTAAGTGCACGGCCAGCAAGAGGATGCAGCCCAGAAAGACAAAAACACAGAAAAGAAGTACATAAAAAAACAGCAGTGCAACAAGAATATGTGGCGGCGTGCATCCACAAAGGAAGAGAGAGAAAGAACAAGAAAAACAGCAAGCATAATGAAACCAGAGGACCCCCAACTTCTTGTGTTATTGTCGCGCCACAGGTATCTCCTCCCTCAGCGATGGGCCGCGCACACTACACAAGGTATACTACCCAATACGGGCGGGTGTGGAGAAGGGCAACCTCACCACTCATCTGCAGCACTGCCCAGACGCTGAAGTATCCACTCACACACGTGCACACAAGCAAGCAGACCCACACGCAGCAACGCAACTCCACAAGACAAGCAAACTGCAATGACGCAAGTTCACACATGCAAAAGAGCAGGAACGGAAAAAAAAACACTACCAGTAACACTCGTCACTATAGAGAAATGAAATGTAATGAGCAATAATAATAATAATAATAAAACCGCAATCGCTTCCATTAAAAAAGGTTTCCTGGACGACACATCATCACTCTTTCCTGTAGAGAGAACTCAAAAACAACGAAACATTCACAGCCTGGTTCAATTTGCTCAACACACTCTACATCAAAGAAACTTCATCCAACATGCGCGTGGACAACTGCTTTTGTTTATTTTTTATTCTTAACATGTGTCGAATAATAAAAAAAAATATCACAGTGTAATTACAGAGGCCGGAATACCCGTGCGAGGTGGTAGTGCTTAGAGCCCCACAGACGCCGCCCCCTCCGCGTGGGTGGCAGTGAAGGGGTGGACGGGAGG